GTGACAAAGCTTAACATCATGCCAGCTGGCAAAGGAGAAATGTTTACAGGGTCCAGGTCCACCATCACAAACAGGGCAGTGAAGAGCATATTTGGAGCTGAGAGGCAATGAATTGATAACTGGCATACACGTAGAAAGTAAGATAAGAGTATTTGATAAATACACATGATAAATGGCTATGTGGCATACAGAAAGACTCTTAAGACCTGTCTAGCTCATCTTCGGGGATGAGAGTGACAAGCTCCCTAGAAGGGGAGGCCTAGCAGAGTGCTTAAGAGCATGGACTCTGGAGTAAGACGACATGGATGTGAACCTGGCTTTTCTTCTTACTAGCTGCTAGGTAGGTTGTCCGTGCTTCATTTTCCCCATCTAAAATGGAGATAATAATAGCACACCTACATCACAGGGTTGTTTTATTAAATAAGTTAGTGTAATGAAATGCTTAGAAGAGTGCTGTATAATACATTTTAGTTTTTTATTAGGTAGTTGCCTGGTCAGAACAGCAAATAAGTATGTTTCTAGTACTACACCAAAACCAGAAATGTAAGTGCAAGCTAATAGGATAGATTTTTTTTAATTGGCAGACCTGAGACATCCCTTTATTTCTTATCATCCTCTCCCTCAACTCCCATGGCTTCACTCCTGCTGTGGTTGACAGCCCCAGGGTTCTCTTACTCATCCACAACCCTCAATTAAAAGAGGCAGTAACTTTGTCAGGGTAAGTCACCCATCTACAGCAATGGTTCTCAACTGAGGGTGATCAGTTTTGCCCCACAGGAGACATTTGGAAAACTGTAGAGACATTTTTGATTGCCACAACTAGGAAGGGGCTGCTACTGGTCGGGGATGGTGCTAACCATCCTACAATGCACAGGACAGTCCTCCCCACCCTCCCAATAAAGAATTAGCCCATCCAAAATGTTGAGAAACTCTGATCTAGAGAGTACAAGGGATTTGAAGAAAAAGAACAGAGACAGATCAGACAAACAAGAGCATGTTGCCTTAATTCCTCTAGGTACCATGGGTTCTTGACTCGTTCAGCCTAGGTTACCAAATCCAGACCATCGGACCTACAGCTGGGGTCTAAATGTATAATTGTGTCCTTGGCCGTTCCTGTTATCTGCATAGAAGTCTTCCAAACCAAGAAATTAGGGGTTGAATTCTTGAAAGAGGTTTATTGAAGCAAAATGTCCAAAATTTAAAGAAATCTTGACAGAGAAATCTTGACAGAAGGAAGAGATGTTTGCCTTTTTCTGACTTATACTACCCCCCACCCCACTCCAAACACTCTGTTTTAAACAAGTTTCTCTTCTAAGCCCCAGGCCCCTAAATTCATGCCTGTAGCTGAGAAGAATTTTACTAAGGTAATGAGGGCTTAAGTAAAAGTAGCAAATGAAAAGTATGAGAAGGAACATTATGAAATGAAAGTCGTTAAATAAACAAGTAGGGGGAATGCAGACTGACATTTACTGTAAAATTCCATTTGTCTTAGCCACAGCCTACATCAGAAACCGTCTAGCTAGCAAATATGAAATGTGGATGGACTGTCTGAGGAACACATGTTGAACAAAGGAAAATTAGTTTTTCTGTAACAATGCAAACCATATGTATCTTACCAGGCTGACAGGACTGTAAGTGAAAATGGCCCCTTTGAGGCTGCACCACCACCAGATTCCATGAATATGACATTCTGGAAACCAGTTTTTTTTTCTGTTAGCTATTCATGATGTTTCTTTTTTAAGCTGTACTACATGCTTTAAATCCTGCATAGTAACTGCAGCCCTAAACAAAGAATCACTCAGCAACTATTCAGTGGCTGAGGAATCAGCAACTTGTTGACAATTTTCCACGGAAGAGTTTCAGCATATGGGAAAATGAAGTATCGTCCATAATTAAAAAGTTCCTAGTTAGGGGTCTTAAAAGCCTGTGAGCAGCCATCTAAGATATTCCACTGGTCTCACCCCTTCGGGAGCAAGGGAAATGAAAACTAAGACACAAGGGAAAGATTAGTCCAAAGGACTAATGGACCACAACTACCACGGCCTCCACCAGAGAAGTCCAATACAACTGGATGGTGCTCGGCTACCACCACTGACTGCTCTGACAGGGATCACAATAGATGATGGTCCCAGACGGAGCTGGAGAAAAATGTAGAACAAAATCCTAACTCATAAAAGACCAGACTTATTGGCCTGACAGAGACTGGAGAAACTCCAACAGTATGGCCCCTGGACACCATTTTGGCTCAGTAATGAAGTTACTCCTGAGGTTCACCCTTCATCCAAAGATTAGACAGGCCCATAAAACAAAACGAGACTAAAGGGGCACATCAGCCCAGGGGCAACGACTAGAAGGCAGGAGGGGACAGGAAAGCTGGTAACAGGGAACCCAAGGTCGAGAAGGAAGAGTGTTGTCATGTCATGGGGTTGCTGACCAATGTCATAAAACAATTTGTACTAACTGTTTAATGAGAAGCTAGTTTGTTCTGTAAACTTTCATCTAAAATACAATAAAAAAAAGAAAAAAGTTCCTAGTTATGAATGCACATATGTAAATCATCTGAAAATACTTTTCATTTGCTACAGTGGAAGCTCTCTGCCTTCATTTTATCAAGTTCATACTTTCTATTATAGTATCTCACCATCATCCTACCAAATATAGATTAAAGGTAGTCAAAGGGGTTGCAGGTCTACTCCTTTATAAGGCAACCTCGTATTCATATAAAGGTTAGGATCCTTCCCTTTACAGAACAGTTTACTAGCATAGGCCTTTATGCACATTCAAAATGCTATTTAAAGTAAAATTTTTGCATGAATAATTTCTCAGGTAAAGCCAAATGTGCTTGTATGTTAATTCCTTCTTTAAAGAAATCAAGATATAGCTGAATAATACTTATACATATAATTATAATAATTATACATTATTTATACATTATAATTATAATAATTATACATTATTTATACATTATAATTATAATAATTATACATTATTTAATCATAGACTGGGTAGTCAACCATTTTTTCAATGTTAGCACTTACTAGGGAGGCAACTGGATTCAGTCTGTGAATGGAAAAGAAATTGCATTAGCAAAGGAGATGCACTAGAGCAGGAGGGAAGAGGTCAGACTGCTGCTCTACCCCCTCAGAGTCAGATGGTACCTGCCACTGACCTCTCTGGGAATTTGTGATGCATGTCTATGGATTAAACAACTTGAGGAAAGGTAAATACAAGTGATGGCACTATTACAGCCATTTCTAATAGCAGGCGTGGTCATTAGCAATAATCACTGTAATGAGGAACTTTCACAAGCACCTCCTTTGTTCTCCTCATCAGAAATCAGTTTCTGCACCCCCTGAAGACGGTTACCAGATCAGTTTTCTAAAATATTGGGGCCAGGAGCCAAGTGTTCAGAAATTTACTGAAGGCTGCCTGTGTGCCAGGCACTGCAGGTACAGAGGCGTCTGAGTTCCTGTCTAGCGGGAGACAGACCAATACCAGGTAAAAACCAGTACTCTCACACTTCGCTGCTCAAAGGCTTCTAATCTTATTAATTAAGCAAAGTCACAGACATTTGTCTCTGCTCCCTCCCTCTAGCTTTTCCTTTAGTCAGAGTGATGCTTTGTGATTGTGCAGAAATTAGATTATAGAGCTAAAATGTGTGTGTGTGTGATTACTGTACAGACAACTTTTCTGAACCTCATTTTCTTGATCTATAAGAGAACTAATGAAGATTACTTCATTAGTGTTGTTCTAAAGCTTCAAAAGCAAAATGAAATAAAATACATGAAAATATAAATTATAAAGTAGTAAGTCAATATTGAAATAAAAGATTATTTTAAAACATAAAACAGATCCTTCCGCAGGTCCCCATCACTGTGGGGCAGTTCTAATCTGTCACTTGAAGTTGCTATGAGTCAAAATTGATTTGATGGCACCTAACAACAACAACTGAATATTTTATATATTCCACAGGGGAATGTCATTTATGGATCTTCAATTAAATAATCACTTTTTCTAACCAAATAAACCACCTATTTAAAAGGCTGCTAGTATTTGTATAGTTATCCAAAATTAGTTTAATTATTTTATACCTTATCTAAACAAAAAAGCAGTTTTGCAAGCAGAAATAGATACTTATATAAACTGAACACACTGGAATGCTCCTTAGAAGCGAGGATAGCGAGACTTGATCTTGCTTACTTTGGACACATCATCAGGAAAGACCAATCACTAGAAAAGGACATCATATGTGGTAGAGGGTCAGCGAAAATGAAGAAAACCCTCAATGCGATGGACTGACGCAACAGCATCAACAACGAGCTCGAACATCAAACGTCATGGAGATGGCACAGGACTGGGCAGTGCTTCGTTCTCTTGTACATAAGGTCACCGTGAGTCAGAGCCAACTCGGGGGCAACTAACAACAAACAACATCGAACTGAAAAACTTTCAAACTACTCAAGTGGCTCCAAGGCTTAAGGAAGTACATTCACAGAAAATGTCACTTTTTATGGAAAGGTTTTACTTTATTTTGTAAAAAGTAATGTTTTTGAGGATACTTATTTTTATCTTTCAAAGTAATGCAAGTACAATGATAAACATTTGAGTAAAAAGGTACCCTGCTTTATGAACTAACACACTGAAGGCATACTGTTCACTGAAGGTAGAAATATGTTATCCAATTATAAAACATAAAATATAAGAGTAAACATAACTGAACAGTCATGAAAAACTAGAGGATTAATCAAAATATTCTGATTAAAAATATTAAATTCAAGTTATGTGGAAATTTTATGCATAAAAAACCATGTTGTATAATCAGAGTGACTCTTCCATGGTCATGTCTGAAAAACAAATATTAACTTTGTTTAAAAAGTTAAACTTTTAACTTCTCTTTTTCAAAATACCTTCAAAACTTGACTATTCAAATTAAAATAAGAAATTTTAACAATTCATACCAAAGACATGTAGTTCTTATCCCAAGAAATCTTCTTGTGATGTATAAATAAATCTAACGGAAAATAGTTTAAAAAAAAAAAAAAAAGCCCATCTAGAAAAGAAAGTACTATAGTTCACTTGAGAGTCAAACAGTGATCCTGAATTACTGTCATTTTTTTCCTCCTCATCATTTCTTTCCATATTGTCTTCTGAGATTGAGAGTAACTTTGTAGGGAGTTCACCTTGATCTACATTTTCTCTCTCAAATCTCTCTTGGCTGCGATATAGTACGGAGAAGCACTAATATCACCCTCTTTCCGTTTCACCAGACAGAAATATCTAAGCCCAAACTTCACTTCTATTCCTGGGCTACAATAAGTAACATTACAAAAGTGCCTAATCTATCATTATTTCAGCAGCAAAATGGACAACTTCTCTAGTGATTATTTTGCTGCACTGTTTGCTGCCTTAATACAACTAACCATTAAAAAAAATTTTTTTTAAACCTGAAATTCAAACTGTCCCTAGATGAATGATCATTTAAAAGTTGGGGAAATGGACATAAATGTAGTCCTAGCCACTTAAACTCCCCCTTCCTCCATTCCTACTTTACACCAGTCATTTTTCTCGTAATTATCCTAAATATAAACCTAAGTGTTCACCTTGACTGCAACGAGAAACAGTCGCTTATTTCTTTCAAACGCATTAGAAGCTCTGGGAGACAAACAACAAGTTTCAATTATCAATTACTTTCATCATTCCCGTTTTCGGTCCGCACACCCACAGTGCTGGAAGCTTCAGGAGCAGGCAGCTCCGGAGAGCGGGTTTGATTCGCTGCTGTGGAGGTGGGCTGAGCAGGCACAGTGGCACACAGTGGAGTCCGCTTCAGTTTGATCACTCGATTGGGTGTAGACTTCTTGTCAGAGAGTAGAACCTTTGCTGGAGGTGGGTGTGGGGCTCCATTTTCAGCACTCCTGGTTCCCCAGGAAGCCTGGGGCTGCCCGCATACCCTTGTGCCCATGGTAGACGTGGCTTTCGAAAGCGTAGAGCTGCTATGAGGCGGGTTTGCTGTCGCTTGAGTTGAGGTTTGGGGAGCCCTGGCTGGAGACACCCTGACTGAAGCTGAGTTTTTGACTTTGATCTGGGTGCTTGTGGAAGGGCCCAAAAATCTTACTGGCTTAGGACCAGTCTTACAGTTCACATTTTGTTCCTCTTCATTGAAAGTTACCAGTCGCCTGTAAATACAGAAACATGTCATTTTCAGCATTTACAGCTTCAATAACTAATGGAAACATCGCCAAATTTTACCTTCAGGATTAACAAAAAGGTTTTCTGGAGAATTAAACAGTCAGAAGATTTATAGCTATCAAACTACCATATCTCTCATCCCCAACAAAGTCAATACATAAATTAGCAAATTTACGAAAGATGTTTTCAACTTGAATGCATACCGATAATCTCCTAAAAGACAATCTCTCATCTTAAAAATCACACACAATGTTAATACTGACAACTTAAAATTTGGAGTGTTACACAAGAGTTATACGACATATCACTCTGTTCCCAAGAGTCCTAATGTGATCTATAGGATAACCAGGAATATCCTCAGTTATTTTTCCCAGAGCAACAATTTCAAGAAATTTACTGAGGAAAAAAAGCATTTCACAGTCAAATAAATTTGAGAAATGCTGTTGCATATTTTGTTCTCCTCTTGGAGCTTTATAATCCACATTAACAAACTATATGTTCTGAGAAGGCCTACGGTAAAGAAGCCTGTTTAACTTTGTTGGATCCATTATTTCCCAATCACTCTGTAACGAAACTACCTTTGACATCCAGTAAAATTAGCATTCTGTGGAACACATTTTAGAAACTGCTAGAATGACCAAACCCATGATGTAGTTAGATGCTGTCTTTGTCATCTAGTGCTGCTATAGCAGAAACACCACAAGTGGACGGCTTTAACAAAGAGAAATTTATTTCTTCACAGTAAAGTAGGCTAAAAGTTCAAATTCAGGATATCATCTCCAGAGGAAGGCTTTCTCTCTCTGTCGGCTTTTTCTCATCAATCTTCCCCCGGACTAGGAGCTTCTCTATGCAGGGACCCCGGGTCCAAAGGATGCGCTCTGCTCCTGGCATTGCTTTCTTGGTGGTATGAGGTCCCCAATTCTCAGCTTGCTTCTCTTTCCTTTTATCTCTCGTAAGATAAAAGGTGGTGCAGGCCACACCCCAGGGAAACTCCCTTTACATTCCTTTACATTGGATCAGGGATGTGACCTTAGTGAGGGAGTTATAATCCCACCCTAATTCTCTTTAACACAAAATTACAATCACAGAATGGAGGACAACTACACAATACTGGGCATCATGGCCCAGCCAAACTGATACACACATTTTTGGGGGGACATAATTCAATTCATGACAGATGCCTTTTGATTTTGAGAAGTATTGGACAAACTTTTCAAAGATTCCTGAATTGAGTTTACCATTCATTATAAAAAGCCTAAGGTGAGCACTTAAAAGGGTGACCTTAAAACTGTCAAACACCATTGTCAAAAACCTTCTTGCTCCTTCCATGGCTTCTGCCAGTTCTGCTTCATGAAAACCACCTCCTGGATGCGCACATCACATCAGTCCTCCAAGTCTTCTCCCTCTCACACAGCATCAGTGTGCATTTCAGAGGCGGATATCACATGTAGTGAACTCTGATTCTTGAAAATGGGATCATAATCGCCTAGTTATTTGAGAGTTACTATATTAGGCAAAAGGAGTCCTGGTGGCACGATGGTTAAGCACTCGACTGTTAAACGAAAGGTTGGCAGCTTGAACCTACCCAGCAGTTCCGTGGGAAGGAGGTTCCATAAAGATTACAGCCTAGAAAACCCTATGGGGCAGTTCTACTCTGTCACGTGGGGCCACCATGAGTTGAAATTAACTCAATGGCACCCAAAAACAACAACATATGAGGCAAGAAATGTGATTATAATATATTCAACCCTATAACTCAACTGGAGTCCTTGAGTGGTACAAACGGTTAACATGCTCAGCTGCTAACTGAAAGGTTGGAGGTTCGTGTCTACCAAGAGGCACCTCAGAAAAAAATGCCTGGTGATCTGCTTCTGAAAAATCAGCCATTGAAACCCCTATGGAGCAAAGTTCTACTCTTTAACACAAATGGGGTCGCTATGAGTCAGAATGAACTTGATGGCAACTGGTTTGTTTGTTTGTTTAAACTCTACTGGTCATAATTAAATTTTATCTGGTGAGTCAGATGGTTCTTTGGGATCTCACAAGTGTTTCATCATTATCATTATCCTTTTGATACATCAAAAATGATGATTAACGGATTCCCAGAGGAAAGACAACTAACCCAAGTGTGAGTCTCCATAAAAACCATTCTTGCTCATTTTCCTGTCTGTCCACACCTTCCACTAGACTCTAGGCTAGGGTTTCTCCACTATTGGCACTACTGACATCTTGGGCCAGATAATCTGTTGCTGTACGGGGCTGTTCTGCACACTGTAGGATCATTAGCAGCATCCGTGGCCTCTACCTACTAGATGCCAGTAGCAATTCCCCTCCCAATGGTCATAACCAAAAATGTCTCAAGACATCAAATGTCCCCTGGGAGACAAAATCACTCCCAATTGAGAATCATTGCTCTAGACTCAAATAATATTTGCTAACTGTAGATTCAAAAAGCAAAATAAATAATGATAATAAAATTAGAGCCTTTAAGGAACAAGATGTGTTTTGACAAGAGATGATTAACTACTAAAAGCCTGAATAAATTCTGCACTTCTGTGACAGATCCAGAGGATAAAGTAAGAAAGTAGTCTGAAATTCCACTGGGGCACTGAGTAATAAAATTCCAGAACAGGTGATCAAGAAACCTGAACATCTGGAAGGCCATGACTACTCAGAAACTAAAATATCCAGACACTAAAAAAGAAATATGATGTTAAATGTATTTAAAATACAGTGAAAGACACAGAAATGGAGTGAATTTAATGTGAATAATTTAATGGAATACAATAAAAGACCATTAAATAAAAAGGGGGAAAATATTATTTGTGACAATAACAGGAAGAAAGGAATTCAGAATGAGTAACAATAAATTTCAAATAGTAAGTCTAAATAAATTCTCTGACTATTGCCAGCAAAGACTGGGATTTCACCTTTGCGAGGAGAAAATTCCTTCTCACATAATTTCTATTCTCCCAATAAGAACATACTCAGCTTTAGAAAGTTACTCTCACTCTTTACACAGTTTTGGTAACTTTGCATTTACTAGACATATATTTTGACGGTAAGGCAGAATATTCATCTAGGTGACTAATAAGCTTAGCAAGGTCAAGAACCAGTATTCATTTCCCCCTTATAAAAGGCAGTAAAAACACAGGTCACAGATAAAAAAACAAATAATCAACAGAGCACAGATAACCTTTTTCGAACTGGGGCCATATGTCGCAGACTTCCAAGTAAAGGCTGCTCTTCCAGTGTCCAACACTCTATCAGCTCGTGAGGCACCCGCCAGTAGCTAACACCTGGAAGACAAAAAGGCATAGTTAAGAGAGCCATCATCCACTGCAAAATGTTCAGCAACATTGTTTCATAAAAATTGGGCAGGGGTTGAGGTTCACACCTCCTCCCAGCTGACAAAGGGAGATGTGTACAGCACAAACAAGAAGCGCTCACACTAAGCGACAGTGCAGTGGAGTGGCCCAGCTCTCAGCTTGGGTCTAGGAAGCACTGGGCACCAGCCCTGACTCTGCTGTTTATTAGTGAGAAAACCCAGCAGGTCGTTGTGTCTGCCCTGGGCAGCTGAGTGTGCTGGACAAGAGCGTAGTCTCTGGGGCCAAGATGGCCTATCCTACTTCTGTCACTCGCTAATTGTGTGACCTTGGGAAAGTCACTTAACCTTTGCCTAAATTTTCTCATCTGTGAAACGATGACAATAATCATATATACCTCACAGGATTGCTGTGAGGATTAAATGAATTAATAAATGCTTAGAATAGGGCCTGGCACAGACTAAGCACTCAATAGATGTTGGGTGTCTTTACCATAAGCCTTAGTGTTAGGAGTAGTACCATGCGACCTTTGAGAGCCAGAATTTGATGGGACTGCCTTGTTTTTCCAGGTCTCACAGACTTTCCAACTTTGACGGAGTGCAGTCTTACCACTTTTCTATCACTCATTGTAGTGGAAAATATTTAGTTTTCCTTCTCTTACAGGTTTTCTGCCTGACACAGGTTCAAGCTCTCACAGGTTTTACTGTCATCGTATTGTATAGTGAGGCTTATACTCACACTTACCCTGTCTGCCTCATGGGGTTGCTGTGACCATCTAATCAGGCAGTTGTCATGAACCACTCTGCAAACAACAACTGCTATACAAATATGAGATAGCATTACCCTATATGCACTTTTTCAAATGAGAACTAATAATCTGAGTTAATATGTTTAGGTCAAAATCCTGGTCAAGTTCATTTTAATTTTTAAATCTGATATGTTTCTGATTAAAAGCTGAAAAATGTAGCCTATGAACCTCAAAAACATTATGCTAAGGGAAAGAAGCCAGGCCCAAAAGGTCACATATTATATGATTCTATTTAAATGAAATGTCCAGAATAGGTAAACCTATAGAGATGAAAAGCACATTGGTGGTTGCCAGGGGCTGCAGGGAGGGGACAATGGAGAGTAACTGCTCGATGGGCATGGAGTCTCCTTTTGGGGTGATGAAAATGTCTTAGAAGTAGATAGAGGTGATGACTACATAACATTGAGTGTACTAAATGCCAGTGAATTGGACACTTTAATAACAGTTCAAATTTTGCTATGTGAATTTCACCTCAAAAAAAAAAAAAACATAAAAATTATATGCAGACACATGGAAAAAGGCTTAAAGAATAATGTTGAATAAAAACTACTTGGTGGTAAAAATGGCTTGGCAGCGTTCCTCATCTAACTTCATAAGAGGAAGGAGAGAGAATCATTATCAACATCAGCCACCCAAGGCTGATTCCTATGAAGCAGAGGTCAGACATACCTCCAGCCTCTAACCTTTTTTACCAGTTCTGACACCAGCTGTCCCTCCCACAGCACTCTCTACTTCTCTGCTGGGTTAGATAATTTGTTATAATGGCAGAACTCACAAATCATACTTACAGTTATGAGGTGTATTAGGGAAGTAACAGGTTACAATTCAGTATACAGTACTTTGATCAGGACAGCATCTTCTCAGCCGTGCCCACAGGCAGGCCTCTCTCTGGCCCTCAGCCTCTATAGCCGCTGCCCTGCTTGGGCAAGTGTTACAAGTGCCCAGAGGCACCCCACTCTGCCAGCCTTGACCTGAAGGAGCTCAGCTCTCTTGCTCTGTGAGTCAGCAAGCCTAGCTCTGCTTACAAATGCGCAGAGGCACCCCACTCCGCCAGAACTCCACTAGGAAGCCTCCTGACTGAAGGTACTCAGCTCTCACTCCATGGGTTGGCATACACACTGTAACCACCCTGCCCCCTGGACTGGGAAGCCCAGTGCACTGTTTCACACAGGTCTCCTGGTTCTGCTGCCACTGTTTCTATGCCACCACTTCTTGCCGTCTTGCACCATCTCCAGTGTTATAGCTCTCTCTCCTGAGTCTAGGAGGTTCTCAGCACAGGGATTCTGGGTACAAGGGATGCACTCCACTCCTAGCTCTTCCTTCTTGGTGGTAGTGAGGTCCCCCTGTCTGCCTCTGGGATGGCTCATTTTAAACACAGTAGGATGGCAAAACTGACCAATCCCCTTGTTAGGGTCCCATACACCTTATTTGCATGGTCCTATCCCTACAGGGTTCCATGCACCTTATTTGCATTATTAGCAAGCTATCCAGTCGCCTTGGTGGGCCACAAGTACCTCATTTGCATAGTCCCACCCAGTCATTTGGTGGGAGTTACAAGGCCATGGGGAGAAAGGCCATATGAATGCGATCCATTGCACCACAGTGGCATAAAAAATTTTTAAAAATTAACCTTGTAAGTCCCAAGAATGGACTTGGTGTCTTCCTTTTATTATTAAAGTTCTGATAATAATCAATTTGGCAAGCTGGGCATATAAATTATTAAATATATTAAATATGTCCAATACTCAAAGAACTCTATGAACCTCATCTTAAGTTAATAACTTTCTGGAACTATTTGATCATGCTCCAAAGCTTACATATTGATTCCCAAATCTTGTCTATTAAGGATTTTTTTTTTTTTTAAGTTTACTCAGGTATAATTTACATAAAATAAAATTCATTCCTTTTAAGTATATAGTTTGATGAGTCTTGACCAATGTATACAGTCATGTAATCAGAGCCATAATCAAAATATAGAACACTTCCATCACCCCAAAACACTCCCTCATACTCCTTTGCAGTAATGTCTTCCCCTTCCCTACAGTTTTGCCTTTTCTAGAATGTAATACACATGGAATCATATAATATGTAGCCTTTTGTGTCTGGCCTCTTTAGCACTGTGCTTTGGAAATTCATCCATGTTGACATATAGGTCTATGATCATTTCTTTTTATTGCTGAGCAATATTCCATTGTATGGATATACTGTAATTTATTTAAATAAATTTCATTTTTTTTCTACCTACAAAGTACAGGTAGTCCCCAACTTACGACAAGTTCCGTTCCCACGACTCTATTGTCCGTTCTAAGTCAAATACCTCGTGTTTTTTTTTTTTTAGTTTTCATTATTATTGCCTTTTACTATCAGTATCTTTATAAATCCAGCAGTTTTCAACAGTAAATCATAAAATTGAACATCTTCAAGTGAACATCTGAGAAGTATAACATCAACAAAAATGCACTGCAACATATTACTAATGATAAGATGTACAAAAAAAAAAGGACGGTCATAAGTGCCATTAATCGTAACTCAAATATGTCATAAGTTGGGGGCTACCTGTAATTCACATTCATTGTACAAACCCTGAAGAATATAGAAAAGGATAAATAATAAAATCAAAATCGCTCCTAATCCTATAACCAGGACTCATGGCTCATGACACTTTGATGCATTTCATTCCAGTCTTTTTTCTATTTATATGATATGCACATAATTGAAAACACTTTACATTTAGTTTTGTTTCCTACTTTTTTATCATTTCTTATTTTATCATGGGCATTCTTCTATGTATAAAGTTATTCAAAAATAATATTCTATTCCATCGTGTGGATGTGCCAAAATGTATTTAATTCTCTATTATTAAACATTTGGATTGTTTTTATGTTTCCCTATTATGAACAAAATGCAATTGAATCTCCCTATTCATAAGCCTTTGTCTACATTTGATTATATCCTTAAGTAAATTCCTAGAAGTAGAATTACTGGGTCAGAGAATATGAACAAATCTGATGCTACTGATAAGTACTGACAAATTATTTTCCAAAAAAGTTATATCAGTTTTTACTCCTGCCAGGAATGCATGAGAAAACTTTACTAATTTGGCATGTAAAAAAATAGTTCGCGTTTAATTTATATTTTCTTCATAAATAATCCTGCCACGTTTATTTCCTTTTCTCAGAATTTTCTGGACACGAACCTTGCACATTTTTTTGGTAGTTGATTTTCTAATCAACTTAAATAAACCCTCTCTATATTAAAGATATTAACTTATTGTCCAGTCAGTATTTTTTATTACTCTTTTAATTTGATTTATAGTTTTTTTAAACATCTTAAAGTTCTAGATAGTTTAAATATTATGTAAGCAAGTTTATCTATCTTTGTGATTTATTTTGGGCTTATAATTTCTTTCCCTATAAAGAAATCAATTATTTGCTTAAATTTCCGTTAGTTTATTAGCTTCTGTTTTTAATTTATAAATCCACAGGGAATTATTTTGATAAATGGTGTAAGGTTAATGTTCTATTTTTCCTCCCATGTAGTTAGCATATTTCTCAATTACTTATTAAATGATCTACCCCCTTTACACTGATATTTAATACTTTATTACATAGTATTTTTATTCTTATACTTTTATTCAGGCCTACTCTTGATCTCTGTATCTATTCTCATTCCAGTAACACATGGTTTTTTTTATTATAGATATATATTATGTTTTACTATCAAACAGAGCTAAACTCATGCCCCTAATTACTTTTATTTCCCAAAATGTTCTTGGGTATTTTATCTGTTTATTCTTCCAGAGGAATTTTGGAATCATTTCCTCAAGATTCTCAAAGAGTTTCATCGAGATTTTGGTAGGAACTATGGTATAGGAAACCTATAATCTGGAAAGAACTGACATCTTTATAATATTCACTCAAGACCATGATATTGTCTCCCCATTATCTTCATGTCATCATTCTCATAGATAGAAAGATGGATAGATGGATGCATGGAAGGAAGGAAGGATGGATGAACAGATAAATAGATACATTTCGCAGTTATCTTCAAAAAAGACCCAAACGTTTCTTAGTAGGGCAGTCCCAGTTATTTTATTTTTTTGCTATTGTGAATGGGATTTTCACCTATAATTTCTAACTGATTTACCGTATGTAGCCTACTGATGTTTGTATACTTACAGTGTATCCAGCTAAACTCATCATTTAAAATATTTTTAGTTGATCCTCTTGGGTTTTCTAAAAAGACATATTGTCCTAAATAACAATGACTCTGTCTTCTCGCTTCCAATAGTTCTTTCTCTTACTTCTGTTTCCTGTCTTGTGGCTTTCCACAGACCTTCCAGAACTTTGTTAAATAACAATCATGCTCCATTACATGCTTTCCAAAAAGTTAAAATCAGTTGCATGTTTTGTAAGCCAGTGATCCCAGTTCTCCACTTCAGCTTCCTAAGTCAGTGGAGGAAGAAGCCAAGCCTAAGCCCTCCCAAGGGCTCCTGGGCGTCCTGCCATCCAGAGGCACAAAAAGGAGACACAGAACACCATGTGGTTTTTTCCTCTCCTTAAGCGTTAAGTGTCTTAAAGTAAATTAAATCTGAAATAGTAAGCTTAAAGAGATTAACGCTTCTTTCACTATTATACTTCTTCCTGCCTGCTTGAGGGCTAATGATAAGAAAGGAAAAAGAAGGAAAAGTGAGTGGAGCAAAGTTAAGAAAAGGAAGAAAAAGCTGGTGCTAGCACCCCGCCTGCAGGAGGACCAGCTGATGTGGAGTTTATAAAAGGCTCTTCCCTCTGAGTTGTCTCTTCTCTTTTTATTCACTCTGACGTGACTTGCAATGTCAGTCTCTACAAGCTTTTAAAATCATTTGCGAACTGAGATGTGTCTTATTTATCTCTGGGCCCAATTTTAAGACTTATAGAGGTTTCCAACTAATAGACAGTCAATACAAGCTTGTTAATTAAGGGGAAAAAAAAAACTTCAGCATAGAACAGTTACTCCTGTGATCCCTAAGCAAGTGATGATGCCTCTCTGAGACTCAGTTTCCCCATCTATAAAATGGGAATGGGAAGTAATTTACAGGGTTGTTTTAAGACTAAGAGATACTCAATGTAAACTACTTATCACACTGTGTATTCCAGGCCTTATTATTATCAACTCTGACAAAAGCAGCTTGGTAAAAACGGTCCATTTTCAAAGTGGACGTCTAATAGCTATTTTAATTGTTTTATAAAGGCTTTTTAGATGTCTTCCCCAGCATATTTTCATTTTCTTTCTCCTTTCTTGAGTATACATTTTATGCTTAATTTAGAAGTATACTTCCTAGGACAGTGCTAGGTACATAGTAGGTGCTAGGTTTAACTGAATTAAACTCTTGTTTAATTGAACTAAATAAGTATAACTAACAGAAGCATATTTCAGATAGCTGAATTATAAACTAATAATAATACTTAGCAGTTCATGGGGTTTACAGATCTGAAAGTAAAACTGCCTGAGTATTACCATGAGGTCACAAATATCTTGACCGAAACACACAAAAAGTAGTTTTTCAAAAAAAAACAAATACAGTATTTGAACTTATTTGGTCTTACAAAGAAAAAGTCTACCTGTTCCCATGAAATAAAAAAACTGCACTGTACCTTTTCCTTCCCAGGCATCAAAGGCATCCATCATTTTCTTCAATTCTGCTACTGAATAATAGCTCCAGATGTACTGAACATTATTTCCCGCCTCTCTAAAAATATTGCAAAAAGTAATGAAAATATACTACCTAGGTATGAGTGTGTGTGTGTGTGTGTGTGTGTGTGTGTGTGTGTGTGTGTGTGTGTGTACAGCTAATAGACACTCAATAAGTGCTTTTTAATTAAGAAAAAAAATACACAAGCACTGAATAGTTGTTTGTGACCCTTAAGCATATATATATACATACATACATGCATATACATACATATATACACACTCATACACAAACCTACATTTGATCTCTTTTTACGGTGGTAAAATATCTTAATTTCACACTATAGACTGTGTAGACAAATCAACACATCGTTAAACTCAAATTTTTTAAAAATCACCTAACTCCAGTAAAGTTAGAAAAGATTCAACTTTGACTAAAACTTTTCTAGCACTATGCCAGGCACTTACATATCTTATATAGAAGACTCCTTGCCTATAAAGAATTCAGAAACTACTAATTATATATTTAATCATCTAAGAAGCAAGATTATACAGTCATGCATTAGCCTTAACTAATATGTGACCCGATCCAATCTCCCAGACAATTAAAAAAAAAGTTTGTTAAAGGAATTGACCAGGGTAAATAAGATTACAGGAAAAACATTAAGAGACTGCCTCTTAAGAATTTAACATGCTCAAGTCAGAGAGTTTGAAAGGTGAAAGGGACCGAGGAAGTCCTTCATCCCTCACAGAAGATGAAGCCGGCCTGATGACTCTGTCCCTGAACTATGATCCAAGAAAGATACCAGGCATGTGGCTTTTCTTTTCCTTCTTTCTTTTTTAAAGCCTCTCAGGGGATTCTGGTGCACAATCCCAGTTCATATCCACTACACCAGGCCATGCAGATGGCCTGTAGTTTATGTATAAGTAAAATTGTCTTAATTAAAATCTCCTCATGAAGCAGGCCTGTCTCCCCAGCTACTGGGACTCACTCTGTCTGCTGAGAGGTGTTGATGGTCTTTTCTAGTCAAGGGCATATTCCATTCAATAACACCTCTTAGACAAGACCAAGACTGTACTTTGTTCTTTTCCATATTTAAATGTGGACATACCTTTTAAAAATGCTTTTACTGTGAATTCTTCCTCCCAGCTGTTTATCAATAGCATCTGTTCCATCAGTTTTTGTGGCATACACACCAATAATTCTGCTCTCACAGCTTGCACCAGATGTGTTAAGATAGTGTAGAACCCAAACTGTTGGTTTATTGCAAACTAAGCCATACGAATCGCAGAAGTCTGTTAAAGCCTGGAGCAGAAAAATATATAAAATTTGAATTTAATTCTAAAGCGAAAATGAATTTACTCTATTACTTTTGTGTAAAGCTTCAATTTCAGTTGGTCGTAAGAGAAATAAAAAGATTATGAAATTCAGCCTAATCTTTATGCCTTTAAAAGCTAGACATGCATTTGTTAGATTTATGGAAGGAAAAATCACAAAAACCACTGCCCAAAAACCCAACACCTTTTCATCTAGAGAATCCTTTTCCACCTGGAAATCCAGCTTTACTTCCTCCTCCTTTGGCCTTACTGCCAACATCGTTTTTAATTTTATAATGTTCATTGAATAAGTAAAAGTGAAACCTTATTCTTTTCCCATTAGACTATTTTCTCTAAATTTTCCCATTTGACTCAATCTTCCTTTCACCTTCTACTGACTAGCCCTGTGGTTTATCCCAATTTTGAACTCCACATTCTAATTATGGATTAACCAGATGAACTTGTTCTTTTACACTGAAAGATATGAATATATGAACTCAGTACCAAGGCTCTCAATTCATTTGGCATTTATTCACCTATTCACTCATTCACTTGAATATTAAGTACCTACTGCCAAAAGAAGGAACAAATCTGTCTTGGAAGAAGTACAACCAGAATGCTCCTTAGAAGCAAGGATGGTGACACTACGTCTCACATACTTTGGACATGTTGTCAGGCGGGATCAGTCCCTAGAGAAGGACATCATGCTTAGTAGAGGGTTAGCGAAAAAGAGGAAGACCCTCAATGAGATGGATTGACATGGTGGCTGCAACAATGGGCTTATGCATAACAATGATTGTGAGGATGGTGCAGGACCGAGCAGTGTTTCGTTCTGTTGTACATAGGGTCGCTATGAGTCGGAACTGACTCGATGGCACCTAACAACACAACAACTATATGCCAAGCACACAGCTGATATATAAGGTCCTGGTGATATGGTGAGCAAGCCACAGAACCTTTGTGCCCTTAGAGCTTATAGCTAATAATGCTAAGGAGAGACATTAACGAAGCCATCACCACACAGTGTAATAAGTGCCACCAGGTGGGACTACAAGGTGCTAATGGGCATGGATCTCGAAGGCTTCCCCCAGTGGAGTGGCACGGGCCTTCCCTGGGAGAAATGACATTGCTCCGTGAGAAAAGGCACTTGTGTCTGTTTTGTTCACTGATGTATGCCAAGTGCCTACTAAAACACCTGCCATGAAGGAAGTGCTCAATATTTACTGACTCAGTGAATGAAAACAGGTTCTTAACATGTCTTGCATTGTCATTATATATCGCTATTTAACTCCTGTATAGTTTTTTAACTTTATTTGCACAACTATATTATCAACTGCTTAAGGGCAAGGATCACATGTTGTATTTCTTTGTGTCCATACAGTCCCTAGTTCAGTGCTATACATACAACAAACATTTGAAATAAATGTGTTAACTGAACAGAATCAACGTGTGCATGCTACATCCCTAACAAGTTGGGACTTAAAGAGATGAATGCTAACCTGCCTCAGCCTTCCAGTCAGGCTTTCTCAGCCCTATTCTGCAGACGTGGCAAACAGTGCTGGAAGACTGTCGTTTAACAATTCAATTTATCAATAACTGCAGTAGCAGAACCCATATAAGCATACAATTTACTAAAAGGGACCCCGAACCAAACCAACTTTCTCTTCATGCCCCACTCCTAATAACTATGCTACGAGCTGGTTCTCCTATGACATCCAATTCAAAGTAACTCAAACCAAGTCAGATCAGTTTTCGCTATTAACAATTATCTGGGAAAAATATTTTTCTTAGATGCCCAAGGGAATTAATTAATAGCAAAATAAATACTTATTTAAAAAGACAGATAATAAAGCTTTTCAAGTCATGTAAAGATCTGTGAAATGTGATTAAAATACAAGCATCTTAAAAAAAAAAAAAAAGGCTTACTGATCTCAAACTAAAGTACGGTAATCTAATTAATGTTTTAATGTAGTAACAAACTGTTACATTCAGTAATGAGGTAAGAGATTTTATGCAATATTTTATTCATCATGACTATTCTCCTAAAAAATGTCATTTTGGTAAACAAAATAATACCACTCTATCCTCACGTACTACAGTATTTCTCTTAATTTAAAAAGAACTTCAGGAGCAGAATAGTTCTATTTTAAAAAATGCCATCAAACATGCTGAATTTTCAATGAGGAATATAAACTCAATAAACCTTTGAGTGTCAATGTAATATACTTTTCTAGAATGGAATTTTGGCCTAGTAACACTGAGTAGTTGTAATTAAGAAACATGTCTACAAAAATTATAAAAAGTAAGACTTTCCTGTTTGGTTTATGTGACAACATAGGCTAGGCAAAACAATACACGTTGCTTTGTGCATAATCGATATATATATTTTAAAACTTAAGAAAATGCCAAGACCTTTTTAAGTTCTATATTTGACCTTAAAGAATATGTCTCCATTTCATTGGCCAAGTGGTCAGACAGGCTGTATGGATAGGGGATGCCAAAGTAATCAGCCTCTTCCTGCAGGGCGACGCGAGTGTGCTCATCGGTGGGAATCTGAACTTCTCCATGAAGATAATCCAGAAGGTATTTAAACAGATGTCCATCACGGTCAATAACACAAGCCCCTAGAAAACATTCAGTTCAAAAATGGTTGCATATAAGCATTATGACTAATGATCAAATTTCAGTAAGTCAAACTAAATCACTCTGAGAATCTCAGGGATTAGAAAATTTTCCTTCTCATGAGAAAGTTAACATATAGTGTTCAAATAGATTTAGTCAATCAAACTGAGCTAGACTTTTGATTCTTTACTGGAGCAGCAAATATGATGTACTAGAAATCCTCAGCCTACAAATAGGTGATATTCTAAAATTTAACTTGTGAATGGGTTGTTAGGGAAAGTCAGCTGTATCTCTGTAACACTGCAGGTAAATCTAAATGCAAACATATGTCACCAGGGTCCCCATGTTTGGTTGTGTGAGTATGCTCTGCACAATGGTGCCAGGCCAAGGCGGCAAGCGGGGCTCATCAAGCCATGCATCTTGCCATGGAGCTATATCTTCCTGAATGGAGGAGTGAGTTTTTCTAATTGCATAAGGAGACTGTATGGGCTAGTGATGGCCCTCCGTATTCTTACCTACCATATAGAAAAATGCATTCTGGGGCCCAAATGGAACTTTAGATGCAATGACCATATTCCCACTGTCCCAAAAACAACAAAACCCATTGCTGTCGAGTCGATTCCAACTTATAGCGACCCTACAGGATAGAGCAGAACTGCCCCAGAGGGTTTCCAAGACTGTAAATCTTTATGGAAGCAGACTGCCATGGAACAGCTAGTGGGTTCAAACTATCAACCTTTCGGTTAGCAGCTGAGTGCTTAACCACTGCGCCACAAGGGATCCTTATCACAGCCACAACAAAAGCCAAGGAGACTGCTGGTAGAAATGAAAGCTTGGCCCTAACCTCTGCCCAGCTGGGCCAGGAAAGGCATATGGAATTCCTCCCTAGAGAAGGCATGCGAGGTGCTCATGTCAGGGCTTGTATATTAGTGATACTACAAACCAGGGGTTCCTAGCTCCAGGCATGCCATATGTTTGGAATTGTTAGGTTAGCCAATTTTATCTGTACTGTTAGAACCTAAATTTAAAAAAAGAGATGCTAAGCTGGCATCGCTTCATGATAAAAAAACTTTTCTTAGACGATTTAGCAAAATTAAAGCACACACTTCTGTGCAGGGTGACTCAATAATTCCTTTCCTCCCTTGATCAGCTTAGAAAAAGAGGGATTAAGAAGGTGAAACAGTAGTACTGACAGGCAGAGAAGAAAGCTCAATCCCCGCTTACCATCTTTTCATCAGCAACCTTTCTGTCCAGTTGGACATCAAGGCTTGGGCAGTCAGTGGTGATTTTTACATTCTTTCAACTGCTATTCGCCTGGCAAAGCAATCTCTTAAAATCCTGGTCTACCAGCATTAGAACAGCCCCGCGTGCTCAAGACTCCTTAATCCTTTTCTCTGACACAGAACTAAGAGTGGGGGTCTGTGAACCCAGAACAACTAAGATAGCACAAAAAGCCTCACTTGTGTTGATGAAGTTTTTTTAGAACCAGTAGTACCATCGCTAGCACTCAGAGTAGGCGCCAGCCACAGAATCCTAGCCCTGTGTTTTAAAATTTCTTTCTGAAACACCAACTTGCAGCCATCTGCCACTGGGTGGCTGATGGTATCACCGCACTGACATACACGTCAGCCCACACAAGACTAGGCAGCTAGACTAGGAAGCAAGTTAACTCCCTAGTGTACACTGAAAATAACTGCCCTGTCAGCTACAAGTGCAGCTGTTTCTCCATACTCATTGCCGTAGAGTCGATTCCGACTCATAGCAATCCCACAGGACAGAGTAGAACTGTCCCATAGGGTTTTCAAGGCTGTAATCTTTAAGGAAGCAGGCTGCCACATCCTTCTTCTGAGGAGCAGCTGGTGGGTTCAAACTACTGAGCTTTTGGTTAGCAGCCAAGTGCTTAACAGCTGTACCACGAGGGCTCTTTTGTTTCTCCACAGAAATACTTTAACTTGAAGAACACAAATAGAAACTAATATTTAATCAGCCTCAGTGCCTTTACCTATGAAGCTGCCAGAATGTAATGACTTTCAGAATATCATTAATTCCCATGATTAGGTCATGGTTGGCCTTCAGGGCGATCTCACTTCTTCTGCCAACGTTTAGCAACAGCATCACAGGTTTTAGAAACTGGGATCTAATTTCTACATGGACTTAATGAAACTCCAAACAGTCCTCTGAGGATCTCAGTGATTTATATACTGATGTCATACATTTTGTTTTGTTTCGGAAAATCAAAGGGAATCTAAACTGACTCCTATTTTAATGAATATTCATGATCATGCTTACAGACTTTAGACACTTACCCGATTCATCCGTTTTTAGAGAAAAACGACCACTGAACATGGACGCCAGCATTGAGTCCTTAAAGCGGCATAAGGACTCCCGCCTGGCTGTGTAAATACAGCCTCCTACATTCAGTCGAAGAACATCTAACACCTCCTCTTCTGCCTTGTGGCCTTCCATCACTCCCACGACTCCCCCAATAGCTTTCAGAAACTGCAAAACAACGGAGATCCTCCTGTATGTAAATAAAAGACAATCACAACTGACATTTCAAACAATACGCGAAACAAATAATGAAATAAATGCATCTTAATGTGATTTCAAATAAATTCCTCAATACTGGCAATAATGAACTGTTTTATATAAAATGAAAAGTTGGAGACATGCTGAGCAGCTGGAAAACTTTGGCTCAGAGGATTTGTAAAGATAATAAACTATTAGCAACCAAATCATAGCTGATGAAAGAACTGTTTAAAGAATTAAATAAGATGATGCACGTGAAGATGGTCTGTCACACGTTAAGCCAAGGTGAGGTATGCTTATGAGCTTTGGTATTTGTGTATCTTTTCAACTGTAAGAAGTCTGAGGGGCTGTCCAGACTGCAGGGGAGATGAGCAAGTAACCTGGAATCCGGCTGCCAGGCTCTACCACTTACTAGCTTGGGAACCTTGAGCAAATTATTTATCTTCTTACACCTCCATTTCCTCATCTATAAAATGGAAGCAGTGATGGCGCCTACCTCAAAGGGCTGTCTGAGGAATAACTGATACAACATATAAAAAGCATTTAGAACAGTGTCTGGCTCAGAGTAAGTACTCATAAATGATAAATATTATTTATCTTGAAATAAGGTGTATACTGAGGGACTTGATGTTGGTTCTGGAGATTGAAGAAAACAAAAGAACACATGATTAACAATGGTGTCTTAGTTATCTAGTGTTGCTATAACAGAAATACCACAAGCAGATGGCTTTAACTAACAAAAATTCCTTTTCTCACAGTTTAGGAGTCTGCATTCAGTGTGCCTACCCTAGGGGAAGGCCCTCTCTTTGTCAGAGGATCGTCCCTCTGGGGGAAGATCCTTGTCTTTTCAGCTTCTGTTTCCTGGTTCCTTGGAGATCTGTATGTGGCTTGGCATCAATCTTTCCCCCATGGATACTTGCCTAATCTGCTTTTTTTATCTGTTGTAAGAGATTGACTCAAGACATACCCTACACTAATCCTGCCTCATTAACATAACAGAAAAACCATTCCCAAATGGGATTAGAACCACAGGCATAGAGGTTAGGATTTACAGCACATATTTTGGGGTGATACAATTCAATCCATAACATTCTACCTTTGGCGCCCCAACATTCCTGTCCTTGCCACATGCAAAACACATTCACCCCATCACGTCATCCCAAAAGGCTTAAATCCACTCCAAGTCCAAAATCTCATCTTCTGAATCATCTACATCAAATATGGGTGAGACTTTAGGCGTATTCCATCCTGGGGCAAAATTCCTTTTCATTTGTGAACCTGTGAAAACTAGACTACAAGTTGTGTCTAAAGTACAATGGTGGAACAGGCACAAGGTAGACATTTCCATTACAAATGGGAGAAACTGGAAGGAAAGAAGGGATAACAGGCACCAAGCAAGTTCAAAACCCAGCAGAACAAATTATATTAGCTGTCACATGTTCATCATTTTCTTTTAAAGCCTCACCAGCACATATAATGTCCACATTTCTAGCAACATTCTGCTGCTAGTGTCATATGTATTCTCTAACAAGATAGAGACCTTCTCTATAGCTCTCCTCACTTCCTTCTGAGCCCTTACCAGAACGGCCTTTGACATCTATAATTCTATCAACAGTCTCCTCAAAGCAATCTAGGCTTCTACTATTATGCACCTTAAAACTCTTCCAGCCTCTACCCATTACCCAATTCCAAAATTGCTTCCACATTTTAGGTATCTGTTAAAGCAGCACTCCACTCTTCCAGTACCAAATTTTGTCTTAGTTATCTAGTGCTGCTGTAACAGAAGTAGAACAAGTGGATGGCTATAACAAACGGAATTTAATTTTTTCACAGTTTAGGAAGCTACAAGTCCGAATTCAGGGCACCTGCTCTAGGGGAAGATTTTCTCTCTCTGTCGGTTCTGGCGGAAGATCCTTGTCGCTTCAGCTTCTGTTTCCTGGTTCCTTGGAGTTCTCCATTTGGCTTGGCATCAATCTTTCCCCCAAGGATACTTGCCTAATCTGCTCCTTTTATCTCTTGTAAGAGATTGATTCAAGACACATCCTACACTAATCCTGCCTCATTAACATAACAGAAAACTCATTCCCAAATGGGATTAGAACCACAGGCATAGAGGTTAGGATTTACAACATGTTATATTTACAACACATTTTTGAGGGGCACAATTCAATCTGTAACAAATGTTAACTATAATTCTTAGGAAACTAAGGGATATATATTTATTAACTGAGATCAGAATTTTCTGTATACCAATAGCCAGACTGATCTAGAAGAATAACAAAGAACACGTTTAAATCACCCAGCTTCTTCACTCTAAAATGGCTGAAGCTTTGGGGAAGTTTAAGGGTTTGATTTCTTAATTCATTCTGGAGATGACCATGGGTGACTGGGACATGTCTATGGAACCTGAAACAACACTGTGGGATGAAAAAGTTAATCCCGAAACTGAGATCTGCAGTATCTTCACATTTCATAGCAAGTTTAAAATGGCCACCAAGAGGCTCAAATACAGCTATGCTCTTTTCCTCTACCAATATCATTCACTTTTTTCTAAGTGATCAAGTAAGAACCTTACATAGATGGACTCCAATAAAACAGTACAGGGAGATCATCAGAGCCAGAGGAAGACCATGTCTGTCGAACATGGTCAGCAGACAGAAACCATAATGGTTTGAGTTCCAGATCTCAAAAACCACTTGTCAGTGTGACTTCTCATTCTGTCTAGAAGTCCTGGGAACAGCATCCCAATTGATCCATGTGAGAGAACCCCCTCGAAGGCATGAGATGGGATGGTTCATCTTGCCCCAGGTAGAGCTCCCTAGAATTCTATCTGTTCTTTGAGACCCTGGGCAAACCTCCCTTCTTGGAGGGCCTTCCCAAGAACCCCCCCTACCCCGCACCCCCGTTAGAATCCTTGCACAGTTTTCCAAACGTACTTTGTCCGTGAGTCTACTCTTATTCCACTTGTTTAATCCCTAGTCTTTGGGTCTATAAACCCCAGAAAGGCTGGGCCTGTGTCACTCTTAGTAATTTCCATTTTCTGAATGTTTAGTATGTGCTAGCCACTGTAGGAGACACCTGACAGACTCTAATTCACACAAAAGCTCTATCAGATAGGAATTACTGTCCCCACTGACAGAAGAGGCACTGGGGGAGAAAAAAACAGTGATGTGTACAGGGTCAATACTAGAGCTGTCCTGCTAGTAAGCGGTGGAGCCAGCCCAATCCAGATCGGCAAGGCCAACCCCAAGTTCTTCTGGCTGTACCTCCGTGCTACTGCCTTCATCACTGCCTCATCCCCATGACTCCTCGAAGGCCCTTCACTCACTAAACATCAGTCCATCTGAAGACTGGGAGGCAACAGGTACACAGCAGCACTCTGAATCCAAGATTTAAGAGCTACCCCTCCCCCAAGTCGGTCTCTCCAAACGTAGAGGACTACCACTATTTCAAGGACAGGCCCCCCTTCCCCAGGCTTCATCCTCAAATGCACCCACTTAGGCTCCCTGCTGTGTTGGGAGGCAGTGTCCTCCGGAGCAGCGTTCCCAATGTGCAATTCTCTGACCACCTGCATCAGTATCATCAGGGACGCTTGCTGAAAATGCAGATTCCCGGGCCATAAATACAGCGAGTCTGGTTCAGGACGTCTGAGGAGAGGCCAGGGAATCTGCATTTTTAACAGGCCCCCGCCCCATTCTTTGAGAAACACTGCTGAGGGAATTCACACTTCTCCCCCACAGCAGGTGGGAACCGGAAGTCCTGAAAAAACAGAAAGCCCTGCCGGGGTATCCCCGCGGCCCGGGTACCCCGAATCGGCCGAAGCGCAAGCCTGCAGCCCGGGACGCCAGTGCTAACAGCGGGGCCCAGGCCTTCTCCTTGGGGGCGTCCCGCCGCCTCCCAGGCCCACGGCCCACCCGGCGCTCCGCTCTGCACAGGCGGGACCGAACGGGCGGCCTCCCCGACTGACCTGCGGCCGGCCCAACCCTCGGCGCGGCCGCCGGACGCCGCGGGGCCCGACACGGAAGTAAGCGCCTCCTCGGCTACTCGTGCAACACAGCAGCCCCAGC